CTGACAATGATGACACTATTCAAGGCCAGTGTCACAGTACGTAAGATGTATATAAACCGTGATTTGGTGATGAAAAAAATGGACACTTCATTCCCACTCAGGTTGCTCCATGGCTTCCTAGCAGTGACGAGTTGTGACTTGCTAAAGAACAACTAGAATTGTTTTAGAGTATGAAATATGTGTGCATGTGTTTTTAAAAATTTCCTCATTTTTTTTGTGGTGCAGGGAGTCAGAGCCAGGGACTCCCAGCGCAAGGCAGGCGCTCTGCCCCTGACCCCCCAGCTGGCCCTCTGTATCCAGATGGGGCTTGGTCTGCATGAATCACTAGCTTTCTAGAAATCAAGACACATATTTTTATATTTTATATTCTTGCTAAACTTGAGAAACATCTACTTGGTGGTGTCTTTTCTCTTCACATTCCTAAAGAAGGAAGGTGGTAGGTGTTTCCTGAGTACGCTTTTCCATTGCTTACCTATAAAAAAAATAGGGACACATCTTCTACATGTCCACAATTTAAGAATTTGCATTCCACTTTTCTGATACATTACAAAGTACTGGAAATGCATTCTAAGTAGAGGACAACTGACTTCTGTGGTATTTTCATCAAATTCTAACAAGAGGGCTTAGTTTTGCCAAGTGGTATTTTCATCAAATTCTAACAACTAAAGTGCAGTTTACTGAAGGGCAAACTGGTATTATTAAATTTTACATAACATCAGTGTTTGGTTGTTTGTGGAATGACAGAATTTTATTTGTGATTTAAATTTATTTTTAAGTTGCTTTTCTCTCTCACTTCAGAAAACATTCTAATACAATGTAGCATTCACATAGTCACTTCAAGGAGATGACATGAAAATCCCCACACATTTCTTAATAGTTTTGTGTGACAAGTTTTGGCTCATTCCATAGAAGTAGCAATCAAAGTTGCTAATTTAGGAAACTAGATAGCAGGAACATTCTAAAATTGTACATTCTGGCTTTGCCGGTGCATGCTTATTGTCATTTATGCTATCATCATGTAATATCATATACTGTAGGTTCAAGTTTTTTTTTTTTTTTTTTTTTTTTCTGTGTTTGAGAGTAATGAAACAGGTGAATCATAAGGAGAAAGTTTCTGTTTTCTCCCTATCATTTCAAGAGTCTGGTGTCAAAGAAGAACAAACTTACTTGATGGTATGCAATTCAATGCAGACCCAAAACTACAATGTTCAAGTACTGGATCTGGCCTGTAGCATGTGAGATATGCCTGTTGGCTGTTTCTTAGGGTAGAACATTTCCAATGAGGCCTGTTTTATATATACTTGGTACATATTTGTATTTGGTACAGGGTCTACAGGGTCTCACTACATGGATTAGACTTGTAGGGATCCTCCTATTTTCAGCATCATCCTAAATGCTGGGATTACAGGCCTGGGTCGCCATGCCCAGGCTCAGTCGCCGTCTCAGTGCGCCCCAGGGGCGGGTGGCACTACATGCCGGTGATTGCACCCCGGCCACTGCGCTCTGCCTAAGCAGGCATTTTAGTCTGCTGAGCTATCTGGCTGGCCCTTCAACGAGACCTGTTTGGAACCAAAATAATCCCTAGTCCTCAGCAGATTCAATGAAGAACCGTTTATTAAACCCTTACATCTGTTAGACTCTTTGTAGACCATGTACAGAGAAACATAAAAGAATAAGACTTGGACCTGATTTCAATAAATTCTCACTGTTATTAAAGTAAGCTGACACCTTCCTAAACCTGTGTCTCAGCCTTTCTGCTGTTTGTTTATAAAGAAGTCGAGGAGAAACAGCAGATGCAAATGTTTCTTCTTCTGCGTCATGCTTCATACTACACAGCGATTTCAATCAAACTCCTTTTTGCTGCCTTTAACACTTTTCACTGTCAAATAAAATTTTTCATTAAAAACTATTTCCACGGTGCTGTATATTTTATAGTTTGGAGACAAATCTAGTCACAGACCACACAGCTCAGAAAGCAGTTTTGAATTATTATTACTTTGAGCAAAAACTTTCCATTCTAAGACGCTAGGCTCTTTTGCTTCGGCCACGAGTCCGTCCCCCCAGCCCCACCCCGTGACGCTTCTGCTCTTCCGAGCTCAGTGCACCGGAGAACCTTAGGAACCTTCTAGCGCTCAGAACATCTGTAAACTTAGGCCAACACATCCCTCACCTCCAGAGTGCTTGACAACACCGGAGATAAACATTGGTTCGGCGGGCTGTCAGCGCTGACGTTAAGCTGCCAACACCACCATGATTGTTAGGGGCCTACAAAAGGCCCACGGTCCCAGAACGATTTCAAATAATACATTTTCCAGGTTGGCACAAGGACAATAACATTTGGAAACTAAGACGAATTCTAAACTGATGGTCGCATGGGAAGAGCGTGCAGACCCGCGGCCGCGGTGGCTGCAGCGCGACGCGCCACCGAGCGCGCACCCTCCTCCTCCCACCTCTGCCCTGCCGTCCGAGCCGCGGCCGAGGCGCAGCCGCCGAGGGGCTCGAGGCCCAGGCCAGGCCTTACCTGCTGCCCAGGCAGCGCCGCAGCGAGTAGGAGGCGCCGCCCCCGCAGGTGCGCGAGCACTCGCTCCACGGGCCCCACGCGTCCCAGAGGCCGTCGCGGTCCTCCTTGGAGCGTGCCCTCCTGGAGCTCTGCAAGAGAGGAGAGAGCGTCAGCGCGGGCCGCCCGAGGCCAGAGCCGCTGCGGCGGCTTCCCGCATGATCTTGGCCTGTCGGTGGCCGGGCCGTGGCCGGCAGGGACGAGGGCTGCGCTCCGAAGACCTGGAAAGGCAGAAACGGGGGCTGGGTGAGGAGGGCTGGCTGTCCACCCCACGGCCTGGCAGCCGGCCTGGGCAAGCAGAAGGCACCTGCTCCCGCAGGAGTCCCGGCTCCGAGGGGCCAGACACGGGCACCAGCGCTCACCCCGGATTGTCACCTTCCACGTCCTTGACGTCGCTATGAAGCACCTTCGCTCACGGAGCTACTGCAGGACGTGCCCGAGCAATGGGTGGGTCAGCTGTGCACAGAGTTGCTTGTTATTTACAGGCTCCCTAAGAAGGTTTGCGTTCATGGAAAGGATGTTGTTCTGTACAGGTCTCCTTGTTGCACTTCAGCTCCTTACAGAGAGGAGGAAAAGAAAACGCTTGTGCTCTGGGTTACAAAACACTGTCTGGTGTTAGGTGCCGAGACCATAGTGTTGAGTGAAATAAACGCGACACATGCCACATGGTTTCTTTTATATGAGAAATCTCCGACGTGAATAGCAAAATAAAAGATAGATAGCAGGAACTAGGAAACATCATTTTCCTAAGAGGGAGAGATGGAGAGAATGAGGGGCGGGACAGAAGAAAATGAACAAGAATCACGAGGTGGCACAGCTCCCAAAGGACGGCTCGGCACATGCTGCACGTGCGCTAATAAGACTCTGAAAACCACAATATCTGCATTGGATACAGATTCTGTGTGTTCTTCACTGTCTCTGAGCCACGCCATTTGCCACCCCGTGCCTCAATTGCCCTTTCTATAAAATGGGAGGGTAGCAGTCTCAGGATGTTTCAGAATGCCCAGGCTTGGCTCGAATTTGCAAACCCCCTTGCCTCAGCCTCTCAGATCATTGCCTGGCTCTGTGGAACTTTTAAAACCTATACCATTAGTCAGAAATATGCCCTCAGAGGAGGGGCATCACAGGTTCAAGACCAGCGTGCGCTACCAAGTGAGCTCAAGGCCAGCTTGACCAGCATAGTGAAACTCTGTCTCAAGTGCATA